TTAGACAATGTTATAGTTTTCACTTAAAAAGGGAGGTAAAATAATAAAACTTAAAAGTTCTACTAATAACTAGTCTCACTTAACGCACATCATTTGTTTTTTTTTCTAAATATTCAAATTAACGTCACGCTCACGATTTCCTTTGTTTACGTTTGTCGGTTTGTAGACAGCATTCCGTTTTACGCACCGTGCGGTCGAAGGGGTCGAAGACTAAGAAAAGTTGTTTCCTTTCTGATTTTTTTTGTGGTGAAAAAATGATATTTTTATACCGGTTGTCCTATTTTATTGAATTACAACTATTATAGAAATATGAAAACTCTATACAAACTTATAATTTATTTTATCTCAGGGGTATGAACCATGTGAATTGTAATATTAATAACTAGCGACCCGCCCCGGCTTCGCACGGGTGCATTGTATTATACATATAAAACTTCCACTTAAATCATTCTATCCAATAAAAAAACCGCATCAAGATCCGTTGTGTAGTTTTAAAGATCTAAGCATACATAGGGACAGACAGACAGCGGGACGACTTTGTTCTATGTAGCGAAGAATTAACGATATTAAACTTATTTTACAAACAGGGGTTATTAAAGGGCACATGAATGTAATAAATTAATGAAATTAACTTAAGATGTTTAAATTTTTCATTCCTATACCTAAATTAAAAATAAAACCTATGTAACACACAATTAGCCGTTAAGGTTCCCTATGATTTTGACATATATGATGACAAACAAAAAGCTTAAGATGTAACTAAAGTTATAATTTTTTGGCGCGTTATGGAAAAAATGATGAGAATGCATTCTTAAGATTCTCGCGCTCAAATTAAATTAAAACCATGAAGTTATTGTAGTAGTTAGATCCCTTTTTTGTAATGTTTCAAGCATTAGCTAACATTAGCATGGAGTTATAATTAATTTGTTAATCTTTTTACGGGCGTACATAAGTACACACAGACGGTTTTATTACATATATATATATATATATATATATATATACTAGCTGTGCCCGCGACTTCGTCTGCCAGTGAAAGTCCCGTCAATATCAGTCTAGCCGTTTCAGACATTAGCCGGAACGAATAGACAAGCAGACAGACAGATTATGGGATATGATTTTGTACGAATCTATCAAAGAAAACTGTCGATTTAATAATTATTTTAATTATATTTGTAGATTTTTAAATTGTTTTTTTAATACTATCTGTTTCGTAAGGTTTTTAACATAATCTCAATAATTTGCGTAGGCTTGGTGGTCAACCAAACCCACACAAATTGAAATTATATGATTAATTAATGAGTTCCATTCTATAAAATTACGGAGGCGTGGAAATGTGTAGAAAATTGTGAAATGGACGTAAGAGATAGAAAAGTGTGCAAGTGTGTGTACAGCATTGTGAGTTAATTATTCTCTATTTCTTCTTCAAGTTCATTTAAACGAGCAAATTGTTGCGTGGCATTAAAAATATTATCGTTTCGTTTCTTGGTTATAAGGTTTTTACAAGATTATAACAGACAGTTTCGTGATATTTAACTAATACATAATGCAAGATTTTACCGATTAATCGTATAGATTCTGTATATATAATGCAGGATAGTAAACAGTAATACTACAATAATAAAAGAAAGGTTTTGTTGCTCCCAGAACTGTGACTGAAATTTAAATTTGGTTCGCTGTATGATGATTCTTGTTGACATGATACTTTTCTGTAGAATGTTGAAATTACTTTAAATATATAATAGTTATTTGGTATCTCTTTACCTTCGTCTGTATAGATGCCAAACAGACTTAGATCTATAGTAAAAAAACAAAAATGTATTTACTCTATCTTAAATTCAAACGAAAAGTATTATAAATGAATTTACATGGCAATTATTGGTATACCGCGGAGTTTTCTATGGCTGAACTACGGTTCAGCTGTCGAAAACTTCCTTGAGTACGATTGGAATTGAAATTTATGCAAATGGAATTTTTGTGTCACTCCTACGGCATTTTGTATTTAATCACGAAGTTCGTTGAACAACTTGCTATGGGGGCTCAGCAGGAATGATCTAGATACATAGACAAGCACTATTTTAACATTACACATTACTTACTTATTTCGAAACGTTTCCAAATGTTTGTACTGTACAAATTTATTTATGTTTTTTAAAATAGCTAAATGGCAGTTTACCAATTTTAGTTTACTATTTTTTCTTAACGTATTTCAAAAGCAATTTCATTAGCCTCAGTTTAACTCATTTGTAGGTAATGATGAAATATTGCAATAATGGGGTTGCAGTTGTGATTATCCGGCAATAGCTTCTGAATTACTCTACAAGAGTGTATTGTTAATACAACAGTAATTTTTAAATTGCCAGTAATTATACTGCCAATTTCATAATAAAATATTTTCTTTACAAATAAGGAATTTATGAACTACAAAGGAAACACAAAACTTTATTTAAATACTTTTTTTAATCGATTAAAATGTATTAATAAAACTATTTAATCGATTTTGCCGCCATTAATTATTTTCTTAATATCCATATCCACGACGTAAACAGAAAAAATATTTATTTAACAATATTCGGTAATGCAGTAGGTTACGAAAATACAATAAATCATAAAAAGTTAGTTTTTCGTGTCACCTTATATAACTTTCTACAAATAAAAACTCCCATTTCACTCCTCCGATGGTTATATGTAAACGTTAAGAAAGCCATTATCCCATGAGCTATTTCGAATTCCGTTTGCCCAGTCGATAAGTCATTAAGTCACTTTCTTTGCTTATACAGCGGTCAGTCAACGGCTTATCGACATGCCGAGCATTTTCGAACTGATTTGCTAGGACACAGTTTAACCGTAAATAATGGAAATAAATGTTATAAGTAAAAATGTATCTTTCGTATGCCGTTTTTAAAAGTGATTAATAATATAGTACTTTAAAGATACTTTGATATTATAAGTAGGTGACAACTGTTTCTTAGTAATTTACGTAAAACAAACCAACATGTATTCGGTAGTATTCGAAAGGTAGTTTCCAATTCAAAATCAGACGTGATATAAGAATCATGCGCAAACGCTTGCGAGATGAAACTGAGGTTGTAAAGTACCAACGATCATACTCGCGGCAGTTTCATAGTTGCTCCTATATCAGAAAAAGTAATTGAGGATCACCTCACATAGTATGGTAATGTGATGTGATGGACTAGGAATATTTAGTGAAGTAAGTATTGCAATTGCCTGAATATAGGGGAGGTAGAGGACGATCTTCGGTTATGTAGTGAATTAACATGACGTAGTTCCTATTGGAGGTGGAACTGCCTGACCCGACAACCCAGGACATATTATTGTCTTAACGCTAGAAAATTAGGGAGCCAATCCCAACTAAAGTGGGATATATTTAAAATGATGAAGAGAAACGTAACGCATTCATTCGAGGCAGTCTCGGGGTCCGTTATGTGTCGCACGCCGGTCGGAAAACTATGTCGGAATGATATGCCTTGATATACAGACCTAATGGACGCCCAAAGAAGCGATGGCTGGACGTCATGAAGCAGGATATGAGAGCCAATGGACAGACCCCTAAGGATGTTCAAGATCGGAAAAAGTGGAGGAGTTTGAGTAATAAGGCCGACCCTGACAGTTGCCAGGATTAATGACGGGTAGAAGAAGAAGAAGAGAAACGGGATAAAATCCGAAAATGTCACATTTAACAATCTAATATCTAATGTCGATATGTATGGGAATGTAGTTTGTTTATCCCCGATGCTACGGTAATTATTAGCAATAAATAAAATACATTTTTGACTGAGACAAGTTATTTATTACTAATTCTAATTGATTTATGGTTTACTTAAATATGCATATAACTTACCTTCTTCAAATAAGCTAATCCATACTAATATTATAAATGCGAAAGTAACTCTGTCTGTCTCGCTTTCATGCCAAAACTACTGAACCGATTTAAATGAAATTTGGCACACAGATAATATAGAGCCTGAGAAAGGACATTTTTCGGCTGTTTTTTAATTGGAAAAAGGGTTCCTAAAGGGGATAGATATTTATTTAAGGGCTTCAACGCGAGTGAAGCCGCGGGCGAAAAGCTAGTTGATAATATTTTTATATGTACGCGAATACTAAACCTATATTAAGCTTTTTATTTAATTTTATTGCGTTTATTTCAAACTTTAATTCCCGACATTTCGAAGTCTACAGACTATATCGTAAAAGTTTGATTTGAGACAATATCGTTATTTTAAAGTTTTGGGAATCTAGTATTCAACCAAGAGATAAACCGAGCGTTTCACTAATTGTAACAGTTTTTCTCTGTGGTGGGTCACTTAATTACTTCGACTGTTGCACGAATGGGCAGGATCGTCCGGGTAAGTAACAAGGCCTCACAGAACACCGGCTTGAAGTTGAAATATTTTACTTTCACGTTTCTACTGGTGAGTGGGGTAACCGGGGCCCACTTTTTCAATGTGTGCAACGCATCTGCAACCCCTGAGGCGCTGTAGATTTTCATGGATGGCGGTAATCACTTTGCACCAGGTGAAACGCCTGTTTGATTCACAACTTACATTAAAAACATCCTGGATCCTTAAGGGACATGGAATACTTATATTGCCGAAATAATACACGGTTTCTTTTGATTATAATTGGATCGTAATTGTTCGTCGTCAGTAAAACCTCCTCAAACCTATAAAATCGATGGACACGCGACCAAAGCCGATGGCAACGGCTAGTGCAAGTGCGTTATTAGTTGTATATTAACATTCGTTTGCAGTGTTTATCGCCAATTACAACAAAATATCAGGGACAAATGATAACATCATGCTGTGCGTTGGAAATGCCGAGCTTATCAGCACTCAATGCTACGCTCGTTCAATATATACTCCTAGAAGAATGCTCAGACCGCATGTGAAGGGCGGGGTAGCTTAGACTGGCTTCAGCGTTATTGCCTGTGCCGTAAATATATTTGTAGGAACAAAACTATTGCTTTGAAGTACAACATGAAAGTGAGTATTATTCTATTCTTTATATATTTTCTTAAGTTTAAGACAATGCAATAAATATTTTAAAAAAAGAGAGCTAAAACGAGCATGCAAAATAGTAGAATAAACTTTTAAAATTTAGAAATAGAGACAATATTTTTTCTATACGTTTATTTAATTTATAAAGCAATGAGCGATTAATTTATTTAAATACGCTAGCTAATATGTTAGTCTACAACATTGTTTACAAGTTGTTATTGTTATTTAGTATTTTTATAAAACTATCAAAAAGTATGCGAATATTAAGTGCAAACATGATGACTCCGTGGCGCAGTCGCCTAGGTATTTTGGCTTCGGCGTCGGGGGTCGTGGGTTCGATTCCCATACGGGACAACTATTTGTGTAACCAACAGATAGTTGTTTCGCATCTGGGTGTTTGTCCGCATGAAATGAGACAGTTTTTTTCTATGGACGATGGGCCATAGAAAAAAAGTTTACCAGATAAATTTTGGCGTGTACTATCGGAACATAACCCTATTTGTTCCTAATAACCTATAGATTATAGTGGTAATATTTATTTCTTATTATCTAACCGGAACACTAAAAAATAAACAACAACTATTGATATATAACGCAAAACATCAAGTCATTTCCGACTTTCTTCATATTTTCCAAGTTGGAGGTTTAATGACTGAATAAGCTCTGGTGTATGTATAAGTATCTGGTGATGTATAAATAAAATAGTACTTGTAACGATCAAAAACAATTATACTTACCAATACTGACAAAAACGTGCCCTCCGAAACTCGGATATTTTTACGCAGATGGGCTTATGATTCAACTTAAAACAATATGTTTCAAATTGGACGTTTTTAATTATCATAAAACAGTCAAAAACAATTCACTTAAACCATATCTTAATGTATTATTATTTTTCTGTTGAAACCTACATTGACATTTTCAAAATATTCTCTTGTCACGTTGAATAGCCAAAAACGATGCGGGTGGCTCAAAATCATCTTGATACCGTGCCCAAGCTAAAAACCACACAACAGACATGACGTATGCACAATATCCGACAGTGCCTTCCTACCTAACAGTTGCAACAATAGGAATCTATAGCGGCAAGGGTATTAGACACTGAGGAGCCGCGCTAATAAGTAATCGTATAGTATCGATTGCATTGCTACGAGCACAACGACAGGCGTTTTAAAGGATCACCATACATTCTTTATGTTATTTTGTGTTTCCGGTTAGAACAAAGTGTAGTTTTTTGCTAGTTTATTACACTAAGTTTATGCTTTCATTTGGTACAATTGCAATTAGTAAACGCTCCTGAAATCTAGTGGGCCCAAAAACAAATTGTCTCCTTTGTGTTTGTAAAACAGGTCCTTACAACACAGGATAATGTTATCCTAAAGTAAAGATAATGTTTAAAAACAAATTAAAAAAAGACTTAAGGTAAATACTATATACATTTTTGGCGAGATTTTGTTTGATCAGTCGTAGAAATAGCAGTAAAAACAGCGGCATCTCCTTACTGTAAACATCCCGTTTTGTGATGCCGTGTCTAAAACTTCCTTCCAGCTTATCTCGCCAACATTACACTGGATAAAGAAAAACGAGTTCAGGTTAAGTCCTTATAAGGGTGAATCTAGCACCAGACGCAAGTCATCCGGCGGAATTGGCTTTACTTAGGATCTAGTAATAGACTTCACTCAGGAATAACTTAAATTCTTTCGGAACAGCTCATCATTATTGTTGGGCTGTTTATTTCGTAATCGACACTTCGGGTTGGAAGTTATTATGCAAATATAGGTTTAGGTTTAGGTTTAAAGAATTTATTCTCATAAAAAAACAAAGTTTACATAAGATGAGATACGTTACAAGATACGACATATAGTTCATTTTAACCTCTTTAGCATTGTGTTTATCACTTACACGTACAAGCTTACGTAAGGTTTAAAAGAAGTGTCTAACGAATGCGCTGTTGGTAATTTCAATGAAATTTTAATTGTTGTTTCAGAAGTTATTGTTTTCGTTGATCACACTGTTAAGTTCGGTCGTGGCCCTCGACAACGGATTAGCGCTTACCCCACCAATGGGCTGGCTCACGTGGGAAAGGTTTAGATGCATCACGGATTGCCAGAAGTATCCTAAGGAGTGTATAAGGTACATTTTAATTGAAGTGAAAACTTCTATAGGCACGTTGAGGAAAAATTCGAATGGTCGCATACACTCCTGACAGTAGTCCCCAAAATATTGACACCGTTCTAACATCATAACATAGAAAGAACTTCTTTCTGTATTCTAAGGCCCGAAACTAACATTTAAAAAGATTGCTTCGCTCTATTTTTTATTGAAAGAAGTTAATTTGACGATAAAAAAAATGAGTATAATTTTTTTAATAGACAACATGGTTTGAAAACCTATCGTTTCAAATTGTTTTAATATTTTATCACACTTTATGGTCGAATTTCTAACAATTTTCGAATTTACACAATCCTGTAACATTTTTGAAATCAATGTTGTTCTCTTCTGCTCAAATTCTCTATGTTTTGGCCTGATCCCTACTTGTGCACAATGACAGCTTTAATTTAGTCCTTCGCAATTATTTGTCTAGTTGCTGCAGCACCTGTGAGACGTGGGAATGGCTGAAGATTCTCTAATTTCAGATGTCCCATCTGAAAATAATTAAAATGGCTATGACTGTTGATGAATTGTCTGTATGGAAATGTGGAGACGTTAAAATACAATAATGACAATCGATGTTGCATTCGAAATAAAACAATATTATTATTAAAATTATTCGTTTCAGATGGATATATTATAAGTAAGCAAATTAGCGTAGGTCATAATAACCGCATCCTAAAACAGGTACCGTCACAAGACATGAATCGCTAGGAACTGCTTCAAACAACCACAAATAACGTGGAAAATATTATGTATTATGATATATTCACCGTGCACTTGCGTCGCAAATCTTTCAAACATTTATATTAATAATATAATAAGCATTCCAAGGATTGACCGTATCGATATAACATATTAATTACAATAGTGCCAATCCAGTTATGGACAAAGTAGCGAAAAGCGTTCCACATAAATGAATTTTTCATGTTTAATGATTTTTACTATGTTGATATGAAATTGTTCTATTTGCTGATCTGAGCTACATAGAATAAATTATAAAAATTGAATATCCATAGTTTTCAGTTAACAACGTAGAAAGAGTACCATGGTGCAAGGCTCTTAGGCCAGAGGGTCGCTCCGAGTGGGCTAATTGAGCCCACTTTGGATGCGTGCTATGAGGTGCGGTGGTCGAAGGCGTTAGTTGAGGAACCTTTTACCCTGTCCTCGTATTGCGTTTGGCCGTTCTTTATCCTCCGCGACTTGGCATGGCTGCAACAATAATGAAATAGTGATGGGGCCGTGCCCCCACGGCCCCATCACTACTTCATTATTGTTGCAGCAGCGTCGATATTGCGATACGCTGTCCTATCTTACCATCAGCGGCTGAAAAGTGGTGAGTGGTGGAGCCACAGACCAGTTCCGCTGCTGGGGTGTTAAGAGGGTTACTGCTTATTAGCACTAACTCTCCTGGCTTCCATGACCTCTGGCCTGCGGACCAGGGGGAGTCATTCTCAATGTAACTTTCCTTACGACTAGTATCTTATAAAATGGTATTGATTCACAGTGAGTAAATATTCGTAGATAATGTAACGGCTCGTGAGAACAAACAATTTGTTATATATAAATACTAGGTTTTACTCGCGGCTTCGCTCACGTTAAAGCCCTTAAATAAATCTTTCTTTAAAAATATTTTTTTTTTTAATAAAAAGAATCCTTTGTCCTTTTTAATACCGCTTAGAACATGTGTACAAAGTTTCATGATAATCGGTTGAGTAGTTTTGGCGTGAAAGCGTAACAAACAAACTTACATTCAAATTTATAATATTAATATAAGTAGGGATTAGGGATATCTGAATAATGGTGCTTTACTACGCTATACTAGCATTAGTAATACTATTACTTTTTCTGTTGTAATACAATTGTAAAGTCAATTTTACTTAACTAAACAATGAATACGTTGCAGTGAATTTTTAATTAGGCGAATGGCGGATATTATGGTGAAGGATGGTTACCTGGAGGCCGGTTACAACTACGTTGCCATTGACGATTGCTGGTTAGAGATGGAGCGCAGTTCCGACCACAGAATGGTGCCGGACCGTAAACGGTTCCCGAGCGGTATGAAGTCACTCGCAGACTACGTATGTATCTATTTTCGCTAAAATGTATATCAATAGCGCTAACAAAAATCATTACTATTATTTATAACAAAGCGATGGGCCAAACAGGTATTAAAACAAATGATCCTGGTAGACACCTTGTAGAAGTTTTTATTAATTGATGTACCTAACTCTTAGTTACCAAAACATTCGGCGACAATGTCGGTTCCTTGCGATATACACTAATGAAAGAAAATTATAAGTCTTTAAATATCGTAGTAACTCTTGTTTTTCATAGGGAAATTAACAAATTCCTAACTGATCCAAAAGGATTTTATAGCGTGCGAGATTATTTGTGGACATGAAGATATGTGATCACAGAAAAATTAAAACGCACACGTCCATTTTAATTTGTGAATCTTGGAATAATATTAAATGGGCTTTAAATCATCCCTTGATTTTTTAATGCGAAAAGTTGTCAGACGAGCAGATGGTTCTCGTGATGTTAAGTGAATACCGCCGCCTATGGACATCTGCTACACCCGAGGGTTACAGATGCGTTGACAACCTTTTGAAAATTGGGCTCCGGCTACCCCACTCACCAGACGAAACGCGAAAGTATTTGACATACTTCCACTTTACGTTGGTCTTCTGTGAGGTCGAGGTACATACCCGGACGGGCCTGCCCATTCGTGCAACAGCCGAGGTTGCTGCTTGGCCCTACCACCGTTAGATGTGTGTTAGTTTACTCATCTTATTTACCCAATTATTTATTTTGTACAATAGTAATAATATTACAATGCTTAAAATAGCAAACATAGGTACTAATGTTAAACCAAGGGACTTGAATCTTGAAATCTTTTTAAATAAATATCAGTACTGATATTTTAAACTTCCTTAGGTACACGGGAAGGGGTTATTGTTTGGAATTTATCAAGACTACGGAACGTTGACTTGTGGTGGATACCCAGGAGTACTAGGGTACGAGGAGATCGACGTAAAGACCTTCGCCGAATGGGACGTGGATTACGTTAAATTGGATGGATGCTATGTTAACACAACCCAGATGGATACTGGTAAGTGTCAATCACATGCAGCATATTATTTACATCTAACATATTATATAAGGTAAAAACTAATACAAAGCAATTGCACGCTTTTGGTATGCCAAGCAAAGAGTGGGGACAATTTACTTTTTCTGATTCCAAATGATTTTGTTGCGAATGTATATACGTTCACCATCTATAGTGCTGGAGTGAAAGGAATGTTAATGATTCTTTTATGGAATGATATTGAGTGTTCCAGAATGCAAGTCCTAGTCTTTAAAAATCAGTATATAAGGCTTTTAGCTACTTTTGCGTTTCTGTAAGTATTCCTCTGTACCGTCAGATGAGATAGTAAAAAGTAATAATAGAAAAGTATGTCTAAAATGTTTATGTACTCCAGATTGACATCATTAACTTTCGGTTTTTTATGTGAACAGTTGATGAATCAGAATAAACATGGTCATTTTTAAATGGTCAACTTAACATTTTTTTATTCAAATGTATACAACATTTATCTTAAACGAAGATTGCGTACAGTTCCATCAGGTTTTTTTATGGGAGAAGATGGCAAGCTAGCTTGGGGCTCACCTGTAGATAAGTGATTAGTAGTTGCAGATATCTTAAAAGGTATTTAAATAAGTTAGGCCCCACTTTCCTCGAAACGCAAAGTATAATACTACCACTTTACGGAGGTCTTCTGTGAGGTTGTGGTACTTCCCCAGACGAGCTTGCCCAACAGTGCAATAGCAAAGACTGCTGCCTGGCCCTACTACAGTTATAATTTGTTATGCGTTTCAACAAAGAAAGTTAAAATGGTATGTAAGGACTACTATAAAACACACATCTCAAGACGGACAAAAATAATGTCATTTAGTGTAAAAACTTGTAAAAAATGTAAAAAATGTTAATGATTCTTGTGTCCAAATTTAATGGAAAACGGCCTTTTTTAAGCATGTCTGATTTTTTCAGGGTACCCTGCATTCGGGAAGTTGTTGAATGATACCGGACGTCCAATGTTATACTCATGTAGTTGGCCAGCATACCAGGATAAGGTGAATAACGATATAACAGATGTATACTTGTGAAGGGATCATCAAGAATCTATAGGACTCTACTATAAAGATCTTTCGAAAGAGACAGTCGCCTACTTTCGGTTTCGTAGAGCGTTATCTCTGCCACACGCTACCTACATATATGACGTTTAAAAGTCGTTACACAAGTGTGCGCCAGAGATGACACTCTAATAAGCCGAAATTAGAAAATTGTCTCTTTCCAAAGGTCGATATGTAATATTTATCGCCGAGTAACGTAAGTGACAAATTTTTCTTTGCCATTCCATGTTTTTAGCCCAATTACGATTCAATCGCCAAGCACTGTAACCTATGGCGCAACTGGGGGGACATTCAAGACTCCTGGACGTCAGTGAAGAGCATCATGAAATGGTTCGCCGAGAGCCAAGACGAGCTGGTGAAACACGCAGGACCCGGCCACTGGAACGATCCCGATATGGTGACCTGATATTTTATATTTTTTATACAATAATCATTCGAATTTAATTTTGATGTCAGGTATACGTGTCGTTATTGTTTCTTGGCCCGCTCTGTAGAAGTCGAAAAAGAAGGTTCCTATGTTACCTCTTAACTATTACTCTAAATTGGAGAATACTCTCCTGTCTGCCACAGCCAATATATATTTTGCGTTATTGCATAGGAATATTTGGCGTCGACTTTTCGAGCAATGTCTAGTTCCGCGGTGAAATGGAAGGTAAGGTCAAATTGGCCTCAAAGAAGCTTGGTGTGCTCAGCAAGGCGAGACAGTACTTCACGTCGGCTCAATGGCTAAACCTGTAAAAAGCGCAAATTCGGTCTTACAAGGATTTCTGTTTTCATCTCTGGTCGGGAGTCCCCCCAAGTATCAGCTACTTTCATTTGACTGCATTCAACATAAGGGGGCTGGGGGGCTATCGACGATTGAAGTCTTTCTTGACTGTCCGTCGAGATGTTGCATCACTTTGCACCTTTTACCGCATTTATCACGGGGAGTGTTCCGTAGAATTGTTTGGATTGATCCCAGCCGCTGAATTTCACCATCTGACATCGTGCCAAAACCTGAACCTTTGAGGTTGACTGGGGGATTATTGGTAGTGGTAGGATTTTTTTTTAATTTTATGGAGTAATAAATATGCAGGCACGACGTTTGCATTCACTGCTGAGCACGTAATAAATTAAAACTTAAAACAGCAATAAACAATTTCATTGCTGCCGGCACCGGGATGCGAAACCACGATTCTCGAGATAATTGAATTAAAATCACGGCTCTCTGGACACTGAGCTATCGTGATAGCCGTGAGAGCCGTGGCTCTGAAGACCCACATTTTGATAACAAAGTCACGGATGTCTGGGCTGTTAACACTAACTCCCATGTTGCTTGTACGCCACCTACTGTATATATACCTAGTCATGAATCCGATTCCTTTCAGCTTATCATCGGCAACTACGGCCTATCGCTGGACCAAGCCCGCGTGCAGATGGCAGTGTGGTCGGTGTTGGCGGCGCCACTGCTGATGAGCGTGGACTTAGCCACTATACGGCCAGAATTTAAGGAGGTGCTATTGAATAGAGACATCATCGCAGTCGACCAAGACCCCCTCGGCAGGCAGGGGCTACGTGTTTGGAACGGCTCGAAATGCGAGGTGATACATTAGCTTTCGAAATGTTTTTAGAATAAAAGTAAGAGTAACAAGGGGCAAACTGATTGAAACAGATGCATATGTTAACATATGTAAGTACTTGGATATATATCACATTAAAATGAAGCCTAAGTAGAAAAACTAATTGTGAGGCCACTGGCGATAAACACGAATTAAACATTTTTAACAGACGCCACATGGGTCTGAGATGAAATCCTAATATAGAATACTATAAAGTCTTGTTTGCAAGGAAGGCGATAAAAAACCAAAATGTGTTTAGATAGCATCTCGTGATGATGCTGGAATATAAGTTCTAAGTGCTTGCACTAACATTTATATATTTAAATACAAAATAAGAAAAAAAAATGTGTGCGTGTACTAGCGTACACTCGTAAGAAGTGAAACTTTTTTATGACGTTATTTTTCAAAAAATAATTTACTATATGCAACTTTACAGAAATTGGTTAAATAAAGTTAAATTAGATAAAGTTTAATAAAAGGCTTTTATTATCATAGACATAAATACAAATTCTACAATTATTTCATTTTAGCTTTGTATAATATTGAGATTCTTATTTGTAATACATAGGTGGCGTTAGTAGTAAATTAAAACACACTATGGTTTGACCGTTGTAATTAGTATGAGGGTCCGCAAAAATTGTTGATTAAAATCCAGTCAGATAACAGCTACCGATCGAGCCGAGGTCCGGCCCTCTCGGGCACCCTCGAATCGGAATGCTAAACGCGTGCTGAGTGACAGCCCAAGCCGAGGTCCCCTCTCGGGGACCCTTGAGCCTGATCACTCCATGGAGCGTCCGCCAAAGCGCCCTAAGAGCTTGGCGGCCTCCCAAACCGGTGAAACTAATAGCGTGACGGCCCGAGCCGAGGTTCCTTCGGGAGCCCTCGAGCTTAGTCACCATAACGCGTAATAATAAATACGCGAGGTTCAGGCTAGGCGCCTCGAGCGCCCGGCCCCCTCAAGTCCGTCGGATCTGTGAAGGCCCCTAAGGCCAACAGTGGCTCATCCAGCCCAAAAAAAAAAAAAAAAAAAAGTTGATTAAAAAACTTGCAACGTGAACCTTGTTTATTTCAATAAACCTCACGGACCCAAAATACAACCGCTTTGAATTTGTACATGGTCCTTCGTTGCCGAATAGTCAGCCAGTGAGTAGAAGGCGCAGACATCCGACTCGCGCGCGAGTGTTGTGAGTGAAGTTTTTTGGAAAACCGAACTTGCGGACGTTGGATCGACGTTGCAATCGCAAGTTCCAGGAGCCGATCGAGGTTTCGAAGAGCATCATCGGTCAGCTTCAGATTGTGTCTTCGGTGGAAGGCGCAGTCAGGTCACGGTGGGCGGTGCCTGCCTTTGGAGAAGAGGAAGTCGACACAGTGTCGTGCTCTGAAGATGACAGTGCTAGCTGTCATTACTACAAATATTATTATTGAATTTCATTAATTGTAATAGAATTATTACTATCATTGATGTCGTTATTATATATTATATATTTGTGTTATTAATGGCTTATGGTAACTGAAATACGAAATATATTGTTTACATTTTAGAATTAGAATTAAAATAAACCCTTTGATTTTGCTGATCACTTTAATATAACATATATATATATATTGTTATGAACACACAAAGGAACTAACGCAATCTAGCGTCAACTATTAAAACCACTAAAGAATAAAGACGACATAGAACGCCCTATTCAACACTAGATGTCGTTAGAGGAACATTTTAAGATAAGAAAAAGATGGCACGTAACGCAAAAATGTTACACAAATTTTTTTTCCAACCCCGATAAAGAAGTTTCACTTCAAAAATCACTTATCATGAACACACCGAATTCTTAATATGCAGAAGTAATCCACATTTCCGTAAGGTGTAAACTCATAATTTTTTATGCTGTTCAACAAAGGAAGTTCGGTGCATGGAATCTGTATCTGTACTAAACCTTTGTGTGAAGAGTTTAAAAGCGAACAATGACGAAGGGCATGTTAACGCAGATCTGGACACGCGAACTGGTCGATGGATCTTACGCAGTTGCGTTCGTAAACCTGAGGGAGGACGGCGTTCCGTACACGTTGCAAGTGAGTCACGACCAGATGAGGATACCGCAGAAGGCTTACGAAGTACAGGTACTCAAATAATAAAGTATTTAATAACAAAATTTATTTATCGGCGTTGGTAGGGACACGCAGCAGCCTCGGCTGTAATATGAATGGGCAGGCTCGTCCGGGTAAGTACCACGGCCTCACAGAAGACCGGCGTAAAGTGGAAGTATAATACTTTCGCGTTTCGTCTGGTGAGTTAGGTGGCCGGAGCCCACTTTTCAAAAGGTTGTCAACGCGTCTAGAACCTTCGGGTATAGCAGATTTCCATGGGCGGCAGTATTCACTTAACATCAGGTAAACAGTCTGCTCGCTTGCCAACTTTTCACATAAACAAAAATCCAATATTTACAACATGTGCGCGGCGGTAAGCCTAATGTTGGAACATAAATGATAGACCTTTAAAAAAAATTGGATGTGCGGGGACCCCACGTATACATAACAAAAACCAAAAGCTATTTTAATTATTTCCTATTCGATTTTTCGGGTTTGTCTCTCTGGTGTATCTTCGCAATCAGAGGTCCAGTGCCAATGGACTTTAATTTGAAATGGCCAATGAATAAACAAGAAAGTACAAAATGTCTCCTTACCAACAATAAAAGAATTTTTAAAATATTTTTATTAATGACGGACTTTGAGGTAACAAACATAAAAAGAAATAATAATAATACAATTTACCTATTTTTTTTAATTTTTTTTTAAAACATTTCCCTTACTTTAGGATAACTTTATCCTGTGTTGTAAGGACGTTTTTACAAACATAAATTTCAATTGATCTACAGAAGGAATCATTTAAATAAAAAATACGATATATGTATTTCAATGTTGTTACAGGATCTTTATAAGGACGAGGGGAAGATAATGTATTCGGCAGGCGAAAATTTCGAAACACGGATCAATCCTACTGGTTTGTACTGTAGTGACAAATAATTTTTTGAAGTTGTACTGTTTATACTTATCCCTGCTTTTTAAAACAATACTGAGAGTAAAATTTTTGCGATGCGCGCACACCGAAAATGAAAAGCGACATGGTGAAGTCGATTGTAAAGCAAGCAACTACGACTAATTTCATGGTATTAGTTGTCATGGCAACCAATAACAACTTTTTACCATTAACATATAATTACAAGTGTTTTAATTGAATAACTAAACTGTCAGAAAATAAGTTCTTTTTAGTTTATTAATCATTCATTCCTCTCATTTTTACAAGTGAGTAATAAAAACAATTTTTATTTTTCAGGTGTACGTTTTTATAAATTTATGCCATTTGTTTTGAAGCAATAAGAGAGTTATGGACCTGAATAATTTATTATAGACTGCTTGCTTCCGTACCCATAGGTACGGGTATCGATATTTTGTACAAATTATATGAGATGTTAAATATATAATCATGATTGATCTTTGCATTAAATAAGGAAAAGTATTTTTATTAAATGAAACTGTTTTGCTATGAATGCTGGAAACGGAATATAAAATCAAAATTAAAAATCGATGAAAGCCCCTAAAATTGTTTCGTTTAATATGTACAATATTCGTATCACCAGTAATCAATATAAAATATTTTATGTTGATGCAATAAAAATAATTTACTATTTTCTGTATTATTTATTATTTCATTGTGTTTAAGTATTAATTGGTGTTTAATCTTAAGTACAGAGATAAGCACTATAAAAAAATTAAATATTTATTATGTGTCAGATTTATACTCGGTATGAGTCCCATACTACAAAGCCTACGCCCGTTCGCGGGTAACGGACATCCCTCCTCCCTACACAAAAAAAAATTCCATACTGATATATTAACCATTAGTGTTCAGGAATGTTGAATTGCACTTGTTTAAATCTGAATAGCCGAAGTTATATAAAAAACCGGCTAAGTGCGAGTCGGAAACGCGCACGAAGGGCACGAAGGGCCGTACCATTATCTATAAAAACGGCAAAAAAATCATGTCTGTTATATCGGAATCCCACTTAAATATTTTTTATTCTGTTTTAGTATTTGTTGTTATAGCGGCCACAGAAATACTACATCTGCGAAAATTTCAACTGTCATGACTAAGAACAATGCAGAAGAAGGGAGAAATTGATAATAACGTTAAATAGCTTTGTGTTGTTTTTCGTTAATAAAAATCAGTTGCGGAGCTTTTAGAGGGCCCTCAAGCTTAGCCCCTCACTGGGTGTCAGAATGCCCAACTTGTGCTATATTTTCTCATAGCTGCTCTATTTATATCTTATAATATAAATATAGCAGCTGCTTATTATAAGAATAATTAATATTGTAATAAGTGTCGATTCATCATTTAGCTATCTTAATTTGAATAAAAATGCGAAAACAATAATATAGATAATTTCGGCAAGAATAAAAAGATTTTATCATAAAAGACAATAGCGGCGGTCCATTTTTTTATAATTGAGAAATATAAATCTCAATTCTCAACATACAAAAGCACAAGCAAATGTGAACTTCTATAAGTGAACAGACGCTGTAGTTAATTATTCATGAAGTTACATGAAAACTTTCGGCATAGTACCCGATTATTTGGCACATTATTATTATTTTTAATATTACAAAAAATTGATTCATTTACGTACCGCAGAAGGTGTGAAGGTAAAGATAAAATGAATTTTTAATGTAGATGATAAATGTACTAGAGTACGCCGGCCCGGCCCTGGAATACTTTGTAATAGGCTGGTAGGGCAGTATGTAGGTATGGCCACGCAATAGTCTTCGACTTGGCACGAATGGACAGGTCCATCCGGGACAGCACCATGACCTCACAGAAGACCGGTGTAAAGTGGAAGTGTTATACTTCTGCGTTTCGTCTGTGAGTGAGGTAGCCGGGGCCCACTTTATTAAAAGTTATCTGCAGCCCTAAAGGTTTTTGCAACAAATGGACATTAGCAGAGGTTATACTTGACATCAGGTGAACCGTCACCTCACTTGCCACTTTATCACAATCATAAAATAGGCTGAGCGCGCGATGATGGGTTTTGATATACGATTTGAAAAGAAAATAATCAAAACCATATCGAAGGACCCCGTTCTTTAGAGTTTAATGAGACCATCGCAAATTTTGTGATTAGTTTTGAACTATACATATTGTATTGAAAAGAAAATTAAAATACGCTGTAATAAATAATAGTTAAAATACTAAAAGACACGCTTTTGTAAATAACCGATTGATTTTTATAGATTAACTAAATAGTAGAAAATAATTTTCAATAAATTTAAATTATGAATAGTGTGATTGACAACAAAAAATATTGTAGAAAAGTGCGGGATGTTTGGAGTCAATTTTTATAATATTCTAATTACAAAAAATAAAATAAAAAGGAAAATAGCTAATCCTGAACGTCCTGATCAAGGTAATGGGAAAGACTATATATATATTATTGCATTGTAATGTGTATTTGATTCAAATCTGATCGTTCAAAGCGGGGCGAAATCACGTTTAAAGATTCCGTCACACACCTAAATACAGGTGAAACTAATATAAGCATGTTAAAAAAGAAGATTAGCGGACGTATTTTGCGATTTAAATTATGACTAAAATTTTATCAAGTTCATCTTTCATTATTATTTAATATTTATGTTAAATAATAACAATTTATAATGAAACGAAGCAAAGACAATGATTCCATCAGAATAACGATGCAATTACAAACAAAAAAGAAGGAAATATAAGAATGTGATCTAATTCCTCATGCTGTCTCAATCTGCCCAATCAATTGAGCGTTATTTTTAAAAGCATTTGACTTTTAAATTATCATGCTTAAATAAATGTATGTAGTTTCTCATGTGGTCATAAAATTCAAGTAATGTTTTTGGTGTCAGTGCATTATCTGCATTAGTTAAATGGAAAAAAAAATCCTACAGAACTGAAAGTACGAGAATATTTTTTATCGCAATCACTTTGCACACTCAATTAATAATCGGTATAATTGCTAGTGGGAAATCTTTAACGCGAAGAAAACGTTACCTGTGACCTATTACTTGATATAACTGCTGTTATAGAAAGATAAAGTCCACTAATAATAATTCCGATAACAGGTCAAAGATATCCGCGTTCCGGGGCGGTTCGCACCGCTCCCAGCCACCGATTAGCTAATTGCACAGTCGCACGGCCATCGGGGTTTCGGTCCGAACCGCGATCTCGATAGCCCTTAGATGACACACCATAGTTAAACGCACGCATGATCACATGCGTGGCCCTACCCACAGAGGAGGGCCTAACCCGTGGGTTCTGGCTAGCCCACCGGTTCTGCGTCAGATGAAGTTTTAATAGCCTCGGGACTGAACGTAAAAACATCAGTTAATACAAGAATACAATAGGTCAAAGATATTTAGCTATTCAGTCAAAGCATCAATGTGAGGCAGCAATAATTCTCAGAGTTGCATACCTACAAAATACCATAAGAAAATTAAAAGAATATGTTAACACCACAAGATAAGAAGTCTTTTAATTCTTTTGATTAATACTAATTTATTTTATTTAAGATGTACGCACGCATTTAAGAATACGTACTAGTAAAAATTCTAAAAACTTGAAAGTACTCGCGCAATAAATATGTCACCTTATTATGGCATTCGTCACATCACCCTCAATCTCATTGCCTCTTACCTTAGTAATAGAATTCAAAAAAGTATCTATAAATGATGTAAATTCCGCAGAGTCCCCCATGAAAATGAGTGTCCCACAAGGATCAATCTTGGGACCATTATTATTCTTAGTGTGTATAAATGATCTCTCCTTTTATGCCAGTGAGTTATCTGATGTTGTACTGTTTGCTGACGACACATCGCTCGCTTTTAAAGTTGTACGAAATGTATCGAATTATGACGACGTGCACTTTCGCGTATCCTCCACTGGTTTACCGCTAATAATATGGTGTTAAATGCTAAAAAAACTAAATGCCTTCTTTTTACCCTTCCCAGTGTAAGAAGGCAAAATTTTAGCTGAAAGTTAAATAGGGTAACCCTTAATCCTGTTGAGTCCGCTGTGTTCTTTTTTTATGTGAAAAGTTGCCAAACTAGCAGACGGTTCAACTGATGTTAAGTGAATACCACCGCCCATAGACATCTGCGACACCCGAGGGTTTGCAGATGCGTTGACGACCTTTTTGGAAATTGGACTCCGGCTACCTCACTCACCAGACGAAACGCGAAAGTATTTGTCATACTTCCACTTTACGCCGGTCTTCTGTGAGGTCGTGGTACTTATCCGGACGAGCTTGCCCATTCGTGCAACAGCCGAGGCTGCTGCGTGGCTCTACCACTGTTGCGTGACTCTACAACCGTGTTCCTGGAAATTACAATAGATTCAAAGCTCCAATGGAGTCCCCATCTATCTATCATCTCTTGCGAATAAGTTAAGCTCAGCTGCTTTTGCAATTAGGAAGGTTAGGCAGCTATCAGACATCGACACTGCCAGACTTGTTTACTTCAGTTATTTCCACAGCATCTTGTCGTACGGCATTTTATTGTGGGGTAGTGCATCTGATATAATTTCTATATTTATTCTTTAAAAATCGAAGCACAGAATACCCTCAAAGATCTTTTTAAAGAGATTAATATACTCACTGTTGCGGCTCAATATATTTATTGTAATATTTTGTATGTTAAACATAATATTAATAATTATCTAAAGAATAGTGACAGACAAACTAAATACTAGAATTAAGGGCAAACTAATTACGCCATTATTTCGTCTACAAAACTAAACGGGGCGTTCATGGGGCAAAGTGTGCGCATGTATAATAAAATCCCACAGTCGATATTAAATCTGCCTCTTGAATTTAAACGAAAAATTAAAAGTAAACTTATGGCTAAAGCATATAGCTATTGCGGAATATCTTGACTACGGCAATGTGTGGAGTTAATACTGTTGATACTCACGTAGGCTAAAACAAGACTGTTATAACTGGACCATATATTGTAAACTGACCTTTTAAAAAAGACTTATGACTTTCTTGCCGGTTTCTTCTCAACAGAAACTGCTTTCCGAAGCGGTGGTAACTTACGAACGTATTAATTTCTTTGTAAAATTTGGACGTTTCATACGAGAGCGCAAGCGTCTATGTGAATAAAGATATTTTATTGTTATTATTGTATTATTATTATACCTGCACTTGCACCATTTAAAGTGCTTGTAAATAAAACGTAACTGTAATAAATAATGGAGTAATGGAAATTAGGTTGTCACGACTTTTCGGTTGAAAAATCACGACAATCGTTATAATACCGGCACTAAAAATAGTCCTATTGGAATATATTTGAATTCA